CTGTATTGAAGTTGTGTAAGTCCCGCTGCATGTCAGATCTCCAAATGGAGATCTGCCTTTTCAGTATGCCGTTTTATCTGATGAAGACTGCAGCTTCATTTCCCATCTAATCGAAGAGATTTTGTGTTCTTCTGCAGCGGGACAGTTAGCTCTGACCACATGGACCGTTTCCACGAGCTTACTATTCATATCGTCCACTGTATTGCAGTCTTCTAGGCACAGAAAACGGTTTTGTAATTCAAACTGAAAGTTATCGAGACCCTGGATTAGCGTTCGAGGGGGAGGGAGTGTTAACTTCTTTATACGGGTCCTCTCCAACTTAACATTTAGGTTTAGTGGGCCTTTAACAATTCCGTGATCACTGCCAGTTCTCACCTTCGCGATCACCACAATAATCAATGTACTTTAAGAAAGTAAATATTGTGAAACAATTACAAGTGTTTCTCCAATCACAATATTTTCTTCAAACCTCTGAAGTATGCAAACTGTTTAATATAAATAATTTTTAAAATCGGTTCAATCGTGTCCGAGAAATCTATTAACATACATAAAATAACATACGCGTCAAATAAAAAAGCTTTTTGTTTTCTTAAACTTGCTAAAAAGCTAACATTTTATCGGCCTAATATATTATTTAAAATGTTATATATAACTGATTTAATTTATAATTGCACCACATACCAATCAAACAATTACGCCTTAATAAACAAAGCTATGGCAATATGGGGGATATTGCCAAGCTTTGTTTATTAAGGCTATAAGAGAATCTAGGTCTGTGCTTAGCAGTGGATTTTTATACGCTGTAAAGTATGACCCTAAACTTTTGAAATTTATCTTATATAATATTACCCTTAAAACATTTTGGAATAGTCCATATCGACTCATTTTAGTCAGAAAGGTTAAAATTCTTAACCATTGGTGAATAGGTATGGTTGCTTATTTTAAATCCCGAATGACCAGAAAATGGGGCAGTAGAAATGATCCCGGGTTCGATTCCGGAAATATTGACTCAGAAAATATATATAGGTGGACTGTATGTGCGTGGTTCTCTATAACTAAAAAAGATGGCGGACGTGGCACCTGGCCGAGTTTTGGGCAATGCACTTGCTAGGACCTAATCTACTATATCAGCCGGCAAGGGTAGGAGCATGAGCTGGTGTGGGAAAAAAGACAACAAACGAGAACAGCTTAAAATGAAAGAAGGGAAAATATACTAACTTGGATGTTGATCTTCTGATTTCCTTTGGTCTTAGGCCTCGAGGTTGATGGCGCTACGTTGCAGCTGCGGTGGTGCACGAAGACAAATTATTCGAACTAGTGCACGACGATAAATTTCACTATGAAAAGCGGTCACTATTTGGTTGTTAAAAATATCTAGCTTCAACTCCTCGGCGCGGCTGCGGCACTTCGACTACTCTGGACGGTCGGTGGCGTGTTCCGGCCCCTTTCACTTTTCTGTCTTGGAAAAACAAAATGACGCCACTAATCTAGATTCATATTGGCGGGCGAAATGACGCCACCATGTCTAGCCTTCTATTGGAAATGCACGTAGAGAAAGGAAGAGGAAGTGAAGAGGAAGGAAATACTGCCAACTAATATTGTCAAACAAATGTGCGTTTTGGCCCACCATCGTCGACATATTAACTAAGTATGCTCTCGCCTACCCTATAAAAAGCCTAACAGGGTAAAGAGTAATTAAGCGCGCAAGGAGCGTTTTTTTCGATCACCAGTGTTATTTCGGACGTTAAGAAAATGGAGTTTTGAAGCATTTCCAACTGCGGAAATTCTTCCAAAACTTGCTAGTTTTCAAATAAAGAGATAACATTTCATAAATAAGTACTTAGTGTTTTAAATAATGTTGTTTTTAATTTAATGTACTTGAATAAAATTATTCACCTCCACTACTACGATTGTCTCCGAAAATGTAATTGTTTTCACATTTCAATATCCACTGATTCTTAAGCTAGTTTTGTCTATGAGTACGACAGCTAAAAGCAGCGATGGATTTCAAGTATGGGCAAGAAACAATATTGTTGCGTACGTAAATTTCCAAGAATACGGCCGCAGGAGTCGAGCGCGAGACAGTGGCGTGACACTACTACTTTGTATCGATATTTTTTTGTGTTTGACTTACCTAGTTTTATATAAATGGGAATGAAATGTGAGTTTTCGTGAAATATTTATTTACACCTCCTCTATTTTTTTTCTTTCTAAATATTTTATACCATTAACCTTTTGTCAGCGATTATCTGTTTGTAAGTACTTTTAAAAGAAAAAAGGGGAATGTAAGTGAACGCAAGTAAGACGAAAGTGATGGTTTTTGAAAGAGAAGAAAGCAAAACGGTATGTGAAATAAGAATAGAAGAAGAGTTAATTGAGCAAGTGGATGAGTTTGTGTATTTGGGATGTGTATTTAGCAAGGATGGTAGATATGATAGGGATATAGAACGACGAGTGAATGCGAGAAATAGAGTAAATGGGGCCCTGCTCTCTATTGTGAAGAGTCAAAATGTGTCAAAAAAGGCACGTATGGCAATTCACAATGCTGTGTTGGTCCCTACTTTAATGTACGGTAGTGAAAGCTGGGTGTGGCAGAAAAAGCACGAAAGTAGAATAAATGCTGTAGAAATGCGGTCTTTAAGGAGAATGCTAGGGTTGAATCTGAATGACAGGGTGAGAAATTGCGTGATAAGAGATAAATGTGGTATGCAAGATGATGTTGTGACAAGGATTAAGAAAGGAATGCTTCGGTGGTTTGATCATGTAGAAAGAATGAATGAGGAAAGAGTGACAAAGCAAATTTATATGGCAGATATGAACGGCCGAGTCGGGAAGGGACGCCCTAGAAAAAAGTTTATCGTCCAAATTGGCGATATTTTGAAAAGGGGCCACGTTAGAAGTACCCTTAATCGACGAGCATGTATGCGTAGATATATGGATGTAAAGGAGGCGAAAGAGGTATGTCAGGATCGTGCCAAATGGAAGTCCGTAGTCTCTGCCTACCCCTCTGCCTGACAGGCGTGAGTGTTTATGTATTATGTATGTTTATTTTAAAAGACTTGATAAACTTTGATGCAATTTTGATATATTATAAGGATAAGTAATGATATTGTAAGGGTGGTAGACTAAATAATTTGATTTGTAAGAAGCCGGGTAACTGAAAATTATCAAACAAGAGAAAGTCAGTGACAGATCTTTAAAACTAATAAAAATGATAAATATGTGTATTTATGTATGTATATATATATATTGTATAATATTGTCTTCATTTTATTTATACATCTGTTTATTTAATACAATGCTATTATTCCAGGTTTCCAAAAAGATCCCAATATTAAAGATAAATGGATATACTTATCCTTAACGTATTATTATATCCTTTTTTCTCTAGTCTCGTCTCGTCTATTACTGACACACTTTCAGTTAATTAACCCTCCGTTGGTCGCGCTTTTAAACTTACGCGGTTGGTCGCGTGGGGTCTTTAAGGACCCCAAAATTTAACAGCGTAGAAAACACCTTACAATTATTATTTTCTTATTTATTTTATTATATAATTGTTTATTTATATTAATTGAATAAAAAGACTATAATTTATTAGAAAATAAATGTTTATTAACTCCTTGAAACTTAAAATTAGAAAATAGGAACAAAATTTTTAGTGTTTTACATGACTTAGAGAAAAAAAAAAATATTTCTTGTAATAAAAAAAAAACAATCGTGTTAACCTTTTTTTTGGTATTTTAAGGCATTATTTAACAATATAAAAAGAAATGTAAGTAGATCCAACAAAAAAAATATATACTTTTGCGTTTCAAATTCACACTAATTTTCCGTTTGAACACAGTCAGTACATACTGATTTTGAATGTATTGGACATATATTTCCCTTAACAAAAAAGGCAGATAGTTTTAAATTTTCTATCTGTTCCCCTGGTGCAGTGAATACATCGTTTCCTCATAGGTACGAAACCAGTATCTTCGTGAGGAACATCCACGGGACGAGGTACGAATCGCAGAATAAGCTGTTTCAATTCGCGTGGCAAAGTTGATATAGTGGCCCGCGATTCCAACTGAGGACGACATAGTTCGAATGCTAGCGTTTTCAAGAATAACTTGCGACCTATTCGGTTGTTAGGATTTACGGTATCCAATATTATGTGGGCATTTACCGCTCCAACATCGAGCATTGTAAAGAACAACCTCAACGGCCATCGGTAGCAAACGCGTGCAACAGTGTAAGTTCCGATAAGTTTATCCACCACGTCCACTCCACCTTTCGTTTTATTATAAAAAATTATGATTTCTGGAATCTTTTTCTCGGATGTCTCATCTATTATACCCTCATTGTGCATAGTTGAAAGTAGTAACACTGTTTTATCCTTTTTTGGGCAGTATGAGAGCAAAGAAATCTCTGTCGGTTTATATCCAAACGCTGTGGAATGTACTTCCAAGCCTTTTCGCTTGAATTCACTTGGAATTTCTGGTTTATTTTTTCTCAATGTACCCACTACTGTCAAATTATGATTTGTCAATAGGTCCTCAGCTAATGGAACACTAGTAAACCAGTTATCCATGGTCACATTTCGTCCTGTACCTGATATTGGTTCAATCATTCGTTTGACAAGAGCTTTTGTTGAAGTATCTTGAAAGTAGGGACCTTCTGGCTGTTTTCCGACATATATTTCTAAGTTTTTTGTGTAGAATGTCATGGCATCCACTAGAGAAAACAACTTTATGCCATATTTAGCTGGTTTGCTTGGCATATAATGGCGAAATCCACACGAGCCTCTAAAACTCTCCAACATTTCATCTATAGTAACATATTCAGTGTTCTTGTAATTTGTCTGGCAATTTTTTACAAATTGCTCAAATATCTCTCTTATTGGCGCCAGTTTGTCAACGGCTTTGCGTTGTTCCCGTGTATGAATATTATCGAATCGGAGGACTCTTAATAAAAAACGAAAACGTTGCTTGGACATAGTAGCACGGCATTTATCTAACCCCGTACCATCAGCCATCCAAATATCATCAATCAAAGCATGTGACGATTTATGAATACCAATCAGATACATAATACCAATCAACGCTTTTAGCTCAATGATATTGGTCTCCTCACAGTCACGCTGCCTCTCGTAATTTGTCTGCATAGATGCTATCTTTATATTCGTGCACTCCACAATATGCTGCAACATATCAACGTCCAAAAACAAAAGCCAAGATTCAAAGGGGTTACTCACCGCCCGAGCTGTACCCTGTGGGCCTGGTTGCTCTGTAACTATATTCTGTCTCCTTGTTCTGATACCCTGTGGGTACGGTGTCTTCCTCCATTTGCAAATTGTTTTATAGTGGCCACTTTTATCTTTTTTTTTGACAAAATAAAAGTTCTGTGATGAAATGTGGATCAATGGCTCATTATCGTCACTATCCGAACTATCTACATCCATTTGTTGGTCTTCGGACGATTCTGACACATGATCCTGGGTTTCTGGATCACCACACATCATTACATTCTTGCTCTGAATCCGTGTTGTGTTCGCTTGTTTCGTCCGGGTATATATGATTTCCATCTTCATCATCCTCTCCACCAAGAATCTCCTCTTCCTCCTCCTCCAACCAGTGCAATATGCGTTCTTGTTGTCGAGCGTCCATTATAGTAACTAAAAAGCCTAAAACAACACAAAAATCATCAAAACATCATGTGCTACAAGTAAATAAAAAAATAAGTTCCAATCACTTTTTACTTACGCGGTTAGTCGCGTGGGGTCTTTGAAAGCCTACGCACAAAATAACCTTCCGTATCTCACGACGCCTGCGCGGGCACTGAACTTAGCAGCGATCAGCGGAAACTATAATCAAACTTAGGAGGGTACCTGGAATTTCAAGTTTCTATGATAGTATTAACAATAAAATATTTGCATTTTAAAAATACCTAGGCTTTTAAAGACCCCACGCGACCAACCGAGGGTTAATGATATCTTAGTTTGAGACTCCTAGATGATCAACGACGCTTAATAGAAAGTTATCGAAACGTGCGTTGCGCTGCACTATGCTCAAGTGAGAATGAGCGCACAATGTCATTCTCTGTTTTTCGCACACGTTGATTATTGGACCAAGCGGTACGCGTCCTGAGATTTTGCATTTTATAAAATATTCCTTAATGCAATAATTTATAGTTTAATCTTTGTTGCATGAATGCTAGTGATATGTGTAGACGAAATTGTGTATTTGTAGTCTATGCGTGTTAGCTGCGAACCGGCGACACGCGACCCGATATTAAAAGACAGTAGAAGGCATTTCTAGTACCTTATTATTTAGACTTATGTGCTCTGTTCCGTGTTGTTTGACTACGAAGAGCATCTACGTAACAGAAAAATAAATTATTGTTTATATGAGCAAGTGTGTAAAGTTAATTTATTAATAAAAAAACATAAAAACACTCACGCCTGTCACCCAGAGGGGTAAGCAGAGACTACAGACTTCCATTTAGCACGATCCTGACATACCTCTCTCGCCTCTTCCACATCCATATACCTACGCATACATGCTCGTCGGTTAAGGGTACTCTTAATTTTTTTTACTATTAATGTATTGTTGGTAATAAAAGGCCTGGTTCTTTTCTCGCTCAAAGGCTAATATATAATACAACCATTCAACGAGGAAAAGCAGCCATCGTTCTTGGCACTATACCACGGGGAGTGGGACTGTGTGACATCCCCCGAACGGGTTCTCACTTTGTCGTAGCGGAAGGTCTTAGTAACCATGGATTGACTCAAAGTGGAGCGAGCCCTCTTAGGATATGTGTTAGTGGACTGCGGCAAGAGGGGTGACCCTAGCCCTACCACCGCAGCCGAGGTGTAGTTTTAGCGGAAGCGGAGTATTTTTGTGAGACGCCGCTCTTTTTATTATGGTAAAAATATTATATATATTTGAATGTTATATGAATAAATTATTTATTAATCTAGAAGAGAATATTGACGAATATAAGAGTTATTATTATTTATACAATATCCTCAATAATTTTAAGCGAATATATTCTGATCTAATGACTGAATGAAATTGCGTTAAAGGAAGAAAAATTTATCACTAATTATTTAACGAACTAAATCAAAAACAAAAAAGAAATGCAGAAGAAAAAAACATGGTTACCCCTCTGGTGACAGCTGAGTTTTATGTATGTATGTATAAATTTCAACTACAACAACAGTCGAAGTCGCAGGCACAGCTAGTACAAAATAAATTCTGAGATTGAGAAAATTTTACTAACTAAGCTATCTTTTGAAATGTAAAAAATTCATATTCATCGCCTAAATTTAAATCACAATTTTACTAATTTATGCAAATCGCGTTTGTGAAACTGACTATTCGGTCAAGGTTGGAATAAATTATAGCTATACTTAAATTTACCTGAGCCGAGGCAGTTAAGGCCCGATGCAAGTTTTAATTAAATGATTGCCTATAATTATTGTTGTATAGTGGCGGTTTGAGAAAGTCAAATACTTCTTATTTATAATTCTTTGGTATCGTAAAAGGCAAAAAATCGAATTCAGGAGATTTCTGATAAGTCAAAATAATAAAAATTGAGGTTGCTAACCCGCCTGGCGTAAACGTGGCTAGTATGGTAAAGACTTTCGTATGAGGAAATCTATGTAGGAGGTATAAATTCACCAGTCAGCATTTGATAGGCTACAATAATTGATGAATGAATGATAATTTAGAAAATAAGTCCAAATATACAATGTAATGCTACAAAGAGACAAGAATCGCATAGATACAGAAAATGAAGGACATGAATTTTTTATTAATATTTCATTGCATTTGCAATGAAAAATAACCAAGTTATTTCGTCAAGTCGTTTCTAAGATATTTTGGAAACCAACTAGTCTTCACAGTTATTCTGTGAACAAATAAAGAACAGATTTTTTTTTAATAATAATATTGCGAAAATGTTTCCTCTTAATATTAATGTGCTTTTACACGTAGTCACGTGTGACGTAATCTTGACAAGTCGACACTAAAGCCCAACCTCTCTGCTTGGCGTATAAGGTGTGCAAAAATTATTATGTTGTAATATCAAACGCAACATATTTCATTAGTCCATTTCTTCATATGTGTATTTAGAAAAAATTATGGTTCAAGCTTGTAAAACAAGGACGAAATTAGGTAGTATTTCAAATAATTGATATAACTTAAATTAAGAATATAGAACCATTTCTAATAAAAACAATCATCAATGATGATTGTTTTATTAGTAATGGTTCTACATTGTATACATTGTATTGATAGACATTTAATGTTATTTTGGTTCACGCAGTATTGTACAAAATCACGTATTGATAGACAGTAATAAGCAATTTATTTTCTACAAAGAAGCGCAAAATCGCTAAGCAAATTATGGAGAGGGCTAATGTTAAAAGTTTTTCTGCGTAGTAGAATTCAAAATGAGAACTACGTCTACGTAGAACCAGAGTAACCGACATTTCTCAACAGATCAGTAAGCTGAAGATTCAATGTACTCGCCATATAGCTCTATAAATCGACAAACGATGTAGAAGGAAGGTTCTGAAATAGCAGCCTTGTACTGGTAAGCAAAGTGTAGGGCGGCTCCACTCTAGATGGAGTGATGACATAGTGAGGACTTTGCCGAGACTCGGAGTATTTTGGAGAACTAAGGAATGCCACAAAACACAGTTCAGCAATCGAATTGTGGAAGGGTGTAATGATGATTCTGATAATGATCATGTATTTTGGTATATACCTAGAAGATATAATGGCCTAAGATATTATCAAGATATCAGCAGGAAGCATCAAAAAGGGGGGGATCTTTTTCCACCAAATTTAATAGCCAACCCGTTTAACAAATGTTGTAGCAAAATTTAATGTATTAGCGGTGTATGTCCAGATGGAAAGTATTGGCCTATTTATAACTTGATGGAGAAAAGGAGAAGCAATTATGAAAATGAAATCATGTTCTTCTTCTTCCGTTGGCGCTACAACCCTTTGTGGGTCTTGACCTCCTCCACAATCTTCCTCCAGTTGTCACGCTGCCTGGCTACCTTCTTCCAGCTGGGAATTTTCCCTATCATCCTGAGATCTTCTTCCACACAGTCACTCCAACGCTTTACAGGCCGCCTCTCGGTCTCTGTTGTTGCGGCGTCCACTTTGTAATTATTTTTACGGCTTTTGTGTCCGGCATTCTTTCAGGGTGACTCGGCCATCTCAGTCGCTGCGACTTACAGAACCTGACGATGTTCTCGTGCCCGATAAGTGCGTCCAGTTCATGATTCATGCGTTGACAATAAATACCGTCACGCTCTTTTATGGGGCCATAGATTTTTCTCAGCACTTTACTTTCGAACACGGCAAGCTTCAGTTCGATCTGGGTTAAAGTCCAGGTTTCACAGGCGTAAGTCACAACAACCCTGATGGTGGTGTAGTAGACATACCATTTTCAATTTATAAAAATATTTCTTGTAGGAAGGACTCAAGATTGGTACAGAGTATTCTATTGTGAACGAATGAATGTTTTCTATAGAATTAAAAAAAATTAGATAGAGATAGATCGTTCAAAGTTTTTAAAGGATCTCATCTCATGATAAAACCACACTTTTGAAACGATTCATTGAATATGTAATTAATAAGGTTTCGGACTATGATAACTTTTGTAAGGGTATAAGATTGATTCAATAATTAAACTCAAGAGGTTTTTTGTCCTTTGTTAAGGATATCACATTACACTTGGGCAGACTTATGTAACTACAGCGCTGATATTCTGTCGGTGACCTTTTCATAATAGCGTTCTCTTAAATGACTCTAACGATTTTGAGTAAATTTACCATGAAGGATTTTACGGGGGGCGTAAAAATCGATCGTTATTAGTAACGAATTTCCCTAGAAATGAGGCCTCATTTCTAGGGAAATTCGTTTACTCTGTGATTTAACTCACAAAGCAACAAACTTGCTCGTAAAATGGTTGGTAATTATGTCGCACAGACCGTCATCTCAGTAGCTCAGAGATTTGTTCGAAAAATGTTTGATTAAAGTGTAGTAGCAGTGTAAGAATATCCTCTATCCCATATCATCCAGTAGGTGTCGTAAGAGGCGACAGAGGGAAACAAATTAGGCGATGAGCAGCACCGTTTTCCTAATAACGACTTAAAATACAAAACTGCGATTGATAATCCGCTCACCAAACGTGGCAACTATGGAAAATATCCCTCATATCAGGCAATCTATGGGGACCTTTGTTTGGCAGTGTACTTAATAATAGGCTGTAACGGTAAAGGTAACAGTGATTTTGATATATAATCAAAGTTACTTCACAATTTTGTGAAATAACAACAAAAACACATTTGTGTTTATTTAAAAACAAAAACATTAATAACATAATACAAAACATAAACACTTACGCCTGTCACCCAGGTAGGTAGAGAGTACGGACTTCCATTTGGCAAGATCCTGACACATCTTTCTTGCCTTCTTTATATCAATATTCCGACGCATAAGTATTAACCCTTCAATCACCCTAAAAATCCCATTCAGTCACATGTGCCCGGCAAATCCCGAGCGGTGGCAT